GTAGATGGATGGATGGATAGATAGATAGATGATAGATGATAGATAGATGANNTAGATGATAGATAGATAGATAGATAGATAGATAGATGATAGATAGATAGATGATAGATAGATGATAGATGGATAGATGATAGATAGATAAATGACAGACAGCAGATGTTTGATGAATAGATAAATTCATGGATTCTAGGAAGAATGTAGGAAATGAGATATCCCTATTCCTTATTTCTTGTTTGTCAAACCAGTATAAAATTGCTTCTGTATGAGCAGAATATTTTATTCTAATTTGGAGAAGAATTTTCCTAAACATAAAAATATCAAATATGCCTTAATAGCTTCCTTACCTCTTTTAGGTCATTATTCAAAATTACCTATGCATCAGTTTTGCTTGGCCCCCTAAATAAAATTTCAGTACCTCATCTCCAATTTTTCATATTTCTCTCCATTTTTTTCGTAAGCACTAGCTTAATAAAATATATAATTCACTCATTTACCTTGTTTATTACCTGTCTCCCCTCTCTAGAAGAAAAATTGTCGAGGAAAACCTTTTTAATTGAAGTGTAATTTATGTGGAGTACAATGAGTAGATCTTCTGTGCTCAGTTGGATGAGTTTTTACAATTGTATATTCCCATCTGACCCCATGTAAAACAAGATACGGAGTATTTCCATGACCCCAGGAAGTTCCCATTAACCCATTTCCATCAGTTCCCCTTCCCCAGAGGCAACTGCCTTCTCATTTTTATTACCATACATTAATTTTGCCTGTTGTTGGAAACATTATAAATGAATTCTGCACAATAATTTTTTGTTTCTGGTTTCTTTATCTCAGCACAATATTTTGAGGTTCATCTTTATTGCTGCATGTATCAGTAGTACATACATTCTACTCTTTGTGGATTTTTAGGTTGCTTTAGGCCATTTCTAGTTTCAAATATCATGAATGAATAGGTTGTAAACTTGCTTGTAAAAATCTCTGTTGGAGAAAAATTTATCTTGGGAGAAAATTCATAGGAGTGTAGTTACTTGGTCAATTATTAAGTGTATATTATGCCAAAAGATTCTCCCAAGTGCTCGTATTATTTTATACCTACCAACATGTTTGAGAAATCAACTTGCTCTCTACATCCACACCAATATTTTAATTTTAGCTGCTCTAGAGAATGTGAAATAATATCTTTTATTATTTTAATTTTCATATTTAGTACATTTTCATGTACAAGTTGGCTTCCTGTGTAATTTACTCTGTTAAGTATAAACATTGGTGGTTTATCTTTTTTATTGTTATTTTGCAGTTCACATATTCCAGAAGTAAGTCCTTTGTGAGAGAGCATAAATTTTTAATTTTGAAAAGTCCAGTTTATCAATTATTTTCCTGTTTGGGTCCATGCTTTTAAGGAAACCTTTGCTTATGTGAAGGTTGCTGACTTTATTAGTGTTAACAGTTTTTTGTGTTTTTGTGTGGGGTCTTTAGGGTTTCCTATATATCACATCATGTCATCTGTAAACAGGTAATTTTTCCTCTTTCTCATTTGGATACTTTCTTTTTTTCTTTCTTAATTGCTCTACTAGAACTTTCAGGACTTGCTGAGTAGAAATGGTGAGGGTGGTTATCCTGGTCTTAGTCCTGATCTTAGAGGAAAAGCTTTCAGTTTTTCAGTAATACTGAGTATTTTAGAAGTGAGTTTATCTTACATGGTATTTATTATGTTGAGTGGCATTGCTTCTGTATCATATTTGTTGAGTTTTAATTATGAAAGGGTATTAAATTTTGAGCTTTTTCTGCATCTGTTGAGATGATCATGTGATTTGTTTTTTTATACTATAAATGTGTTTCTTTTATTAATTTGTAAGTGTTGAACCATGTTTGTATATCAGGAATAAATCCCACTGGATCATGGCATTTTTCTTTTAATGTGTTGGTGAATTCAGTTTGCTAGTATTTTGTTAAAGATGTTTACATTCTATGTCTACCAGGGATAATGGCCTGTGGTTTTCCTTTCTTGTGCTGTCTTTTTCTGGATTGGGTATCAGGGTAATGTTGGCCTCATAAAATGAGTATAGAATTGTACTGTACTCTTCAATATTTTTGAATTATGAAGAATTGTCATTAATTCTCTTTTAAATGTTTAGTAAAATTTGTCAGTGAAGTTATCTGCCCCTGGCATTTTCTTTATTGAGAGATTTTTGATTATTGATTTATTCTCCTTACTCTAGGGATAGTTATGTTTAGACTTTGTCGCTTCATGACTTAATCTTGATAGATTGTTTCTAGGAATTTACCCATTCTACTAGATTATCCAATTTATTGGCATATACTTGTCCGTGCATAGTACCCTCTGGTGATCCTTTTTACTTCTATGACATTAGTTGTAATGTCTCTTATCAGTTTTGATTTTATATTTCAATCTTTTTCTTAGTTACTCTAGCTAAATGTTTGTTTATGCTTTTAAGCAACCAACTCTTAAAAAGAAAGACTCATGGACACAGACCACAGTATGGTCTGGAAGGTAGAAGAAGATAAAGGGGGATAAATGATGATGGAAGGAGACTTCACTTGGGGTGGTAAACACAACATGATATACAGCTTGTGTGTTGTAGAATTGTGTGCCTGAAACCTACATAATTTTATTAACCAATGTCACCCCAATCAATTCAATTAAATAACAAGGGGGGGGGGGAACAACCAACTCTTAGTTTTGTAAATTTTTCCTATTTTTATATTCTCTATTGCATTTATTTATGTTTGGTTGGTTTTTTAAATATATCTTTATTGATTTCAGAGAGAGGAAGGGAGAGGGAGAGAGAGATAGAAACATCAATGATGAGAGTCATTGATCAGCTGCTTCCTGCACGCCCCCCACTGGGGATCAAGCCCACAACCCAGGCATGTGCCCTGACCAGTAGTCAAACTGCAACCTCCTGGATCATAGGTTGATGCTCAACCGGGCTATTTATGTTATATTCTTTACTATTTTATTCCTCTGATAACTTTACAATTAGTTTGTTCTTTTTCTAGTTCCTTGGGTATAAACTTAGGTTGCGTATTAGAGTCTTTCTTCTCTTTAACGTAGGTATTTATTACCATAAACCTTCCTCTTAGTACTGCTTTTGCAACATCCCATAAATTTTGGTATGTTGTATTTTTATTTGAATCTGGCTCAAGATATTTTCTAATTTGGTATCTCCTATGATATCTTCTTTGACCCTTTGGTTGTTCAAAATGTGTTGTTTAATTTTGAATTTTTCTGTTTTTCTTCTGCTATTGGTTTCTAGTTTCATTCCATTATAGTCAGAAAAGATACTTGGTATAATTTCAATCTTCTTAATTTGTTAAAACTTGTTTTGTGATATAACATGTGATCAGTCCTGGAGAATGTTCTATGCGCACTTGAGAAAAATGTACATTCTGCTTCTGTTTGTTGGAATTATCTGTATATTTTTGTGAGGTCCATTTGATCTACAGTATTGTTCAAGTCTACTGTTTCTTTGTTGATTTTCTGTCCAGTCAATCTGTCCATTATTGAAAGTGGGATTTTGAACTCTCCTACTGTTAATTGTATTTTTGGTTGTTTTATCCTTTAGTTCTATCAATGTATCATGATTTTTATCTTTTTATTTTGAATTTATCATTTTATCATTATCAATGTTTTATTTGTCTATTGTGAGTTTTTTTGTTTGTTTGTTTGTTTTGTTTTTACTTAAAGTTTATTTTACCCCTGCTCTCTTTTGGTTATATTTTCATGGAATATTCTTTCCCATCCCTTCATTTTCAGCCTGTGTATGTCCTTAAATCTAAAGTGAGTTTCCTGTAGACAGCATATAGTTGGATCTTGCTTTTTATCCATTCAGCTGCTATATGTATTTTGTTTGAAGAGTTTAATTTGCTTACATTTAAAGTAATTTTTGATAGGAAAGGATTTACTATTATTTTGTTAATTTTTGCCTGTTTTTCTAGTAGTTCTTGTGTTCCTTGTTTCCTCTCTTCCTGTCTTCATTTCCTTTTTATTATTTTTAGTATTGATATGCTTTGATTCCTTTTTCTTTTGTGTAACTTCCATAGGTATTTTCTTTGTGGTTACCATGGAGGTTACATGAAATATCTTATAGTTCTAACAGTCTACTATAAGTTGATAATAATTTAATCTCTATGGCATATAAAAACTGCTCTCTGTACCTCCCCCCAACATGCTTTAGTTATTTATGTTATAACATATCTATTTGTATTATGCAACTTATTTTTAGCTATAATTTTTGTAATAATATAAGATTTTAGTTATTGTTATTTTTTTAAATCTTCACCCGAGGATATTTTTTCTGGTGCTTTTTAGACAGAGTGGTAAGGAGAGAGAGAAAAACATCAATATGAAAGAGACACATTGATTAGTTGACTCCCACTCGCACCCTGACTGGGGTGGGGAACCTGCGACTGAGGTACGTAACCTTGGCCAGAATCAAACCTGGGACCCTTCAGTCTGTGGGCTGATGCTCTAACCGCTGAGCAAAACCAGCCAGGGCAGTTATTATTTTTTAATACTTTGTCTGTTCACTTTTATGGTAGAATTAAAAGTCATTTACCCACCATTACAATAATACATTTTGTCTATATATGTGTCATCACCCAAGTTTTATACTTTCATATGCTTTTTTTTTTTTTTAAATATATCTTTATTGACTTTAGAGAGAGGAAAGGAGAGGGAGAGAGAGAGATAGAAACATCAATGATGAGAGAGTCGTTGATTGGCCACAGCCCGCAACCCAGGCATATGCCCTGACCGGGAATCAAACCCTGATCGCCTGGATCCTAGGTCAACACTCAACCGCTGAGCCACGCCTGGCTGGGCTCATATGCTTTTGTATTACCGTCTACATACTTTCTTTTCAACTTGAAGAAGGAAAATCCCATTACCATTTCTTATAAGGTGGGTCTAGTGGTAATGAACTCTCAGCTTTTCTTTGTTTAGGAAAGTTTTTTATCCTTTATTCTTGAAGGATCCTTTAGCCAGGTATAGTATTCTTGGTTGGAAGTTGTTTTTTCTTTCAGCACTTTGGCTATATCATCTAACCTTCAAGGTTTCTGCTGAAGAATCTGCTGATAGTCTAAAACTTTTTTTAATTTAAATCATTTTTTATATTTCAATTACAGTTGACATAGACTATTATATTAATTTCAGGTGTACACCCCAGTGATTAGACATTGTATAACTTAGTGATCATCCTTGTATGTGACAACTTTCTTGTTTTTTGCTGCTTTTAAAATCTTCTCTTTGTCTTTGACTATTTGATTATAATGGGTCTCATTATGAATTCCTTTGAGTTCATCTTGTATAAGTCTTCTGGGCTTCCTGAATCTGGATGTCCATTTCCTTGCCTGGGTTGGGAACTTTTTAGCCATTATTTCTTTGAATAAACTTTCTGGTTCCTTCTCTCTCTCTTTTCCTTATGGAATACCTATAGTGTGTATATTGCTCAACTTGATGGTATTTTATTGGTCTCTTGGGCCTTATTTACTCCTCTTTATTCTTTTTTCTTTCAGCTCCCCTGAATGAATAATTTCCTGTGCCTTGACTTAGAGGTCACTCATTCATTGGTTTGCTTTGAACCCCCCTAGTGAATTATTCAGTTCAGTTTATTGTATTCTTCAGTTCTATCACTTCTTTTTGGTGCTTAAGTTTTCTGTTTGTTGAAATTATCAGTTTTCACAGGCATTATTATACTAACTTTGGTGAGCATCTTTATGATGGTTATTTTGAATCCTCTATTAGGTAAGTCATATGTCTCCATTTCATAGGGTTAGATCTGGAGGTGTATTTTTCTTTTGTTTGAAAAATATCTCTATTTTGCTTCTTTTGATTTTTTCATCATATTTAGGGTTATATTTTTTTCTTTGTATGTTTTGTAACTTTTATGACTGATAGTGGGAATAAAATAATAATATAGAATAAAGAACTTGATATTTATTCTCAGAAAAGGGTATGTTCTGGTGTGTTAGACCACTATTATAGTAGACAACTGAATCAATAGGATCTGTATTTGAGCAAAAATTGGTATGTGTTAGATTTTACTTAGATTCTGTTTATTGTTGTCTTCAAACATTTTAAGAATAGGACCAGGATTTTGCTCTTAACAGAGGTTGGGATCTGTTCATTAGTGAGATTATAGAGATCTCTTTAAGCTACAGTCTAGTTCCCAGCTTTTTTGATCAGACACATCCTCTTTTTTGTCCATCCCTGCAGTGTTTTCTTCACCTTAAAGGATTTCTCTCTACCCTACTACCTTCTCCCAAACCTTTGAAGGGCCACTGCAATGAAGGACTGATGTATCCCAGAGCTATTTCTCTCAGCCTTTTTGTCATGCCCTGAGCTATCAGAATGCTATGCAATGTTTTCTACAAAGTTCTGGAGTGCCTTGGAGTGATTTTTATCACTACCCTTCCCAACCCCAGCTTCTAGAAGGCTAGTACAGTGTACCTAGTGAAAGTGCAGAGTACTCTGAAAAGATTTGTCAGATCCCCGAAGGACAGGAGTTTTAGCTGATTTATTTACTGCCTTGCATATAGTAGTCACTCAATAAAAATATATTTAATGAATATAAATCTTGTCATCTCAGATTTCAGTGTGTATAGGACAAGAGCCAGATAACAGAGGCTTTTCTTTGTATGTCTCTCCTATATAAAATTACCAAAGAAGTATTTATTAGGCTTTTAAGACTTGTAATCAAATGAATTGTGGCATGCCATACCTTCTTGCTCATCCAAATCATGAAAAGCCAAGTGGAGTCTCACAAGGATAAGGAGAATACAAAATTTTTTTATTTGTTTTTCTTGGATTTTCTCAGGTGTGGGATACCACATAACCATGGTGAAGGGACCTCATTGTAATGTTGAAGAAATCTCCAAATTGATATGTCATCATATATCATCAGCCACTTTGGAGAAGAATGTTAGCAATGAATTATCGTTTGTTCTACCCAAAGAGTACACACACAGGTATGGATTAAGAGAGTACTAAAGGTTGATGTTTAGATAACAGGAAATTGTTGTTGCTTTTTCTGGTTTCTTCAGGCTTAGCAAGTAGAGTTCCTTCAACAAGCCAGTACTCCATTCCTAGCTTCCACCTGCACTGAAGATAGGGATGACACCTCATGGCTGTAGTGTCCTGCTTTTAGTTGGTGATAATGGATGGTATGTTGTAGGTAGAATAAAAATTGTGTGGTGAGTAGAGTGAATGGAAATATTAAGATAATTAAAGAAAAAAAATGCCTATAGTGGTAGCTCTTGAAGCAAGGGTGACAAGAACCAAGAGAAAGAGGCAGTTTTACTGCACTAGTTATCCAGGTTATTCATCAGAGGGAGTCACAAAGGATAAAAACTTTACTGAGGTAACCATTCTAAAAAATTGAGATGAAAACTAAGAGTACTCACCAGTGACTTTCAGAAGATGATATCTTTACCTTCTTGTCATATGTAAGTAAGTTCTTTGCTTTGGTTTTCCCTAGAGTCAGTCCGGTTGTCATAGTCAAGAAGAATATGAAGGACTTTTTTTTTTTTAATATATTTTTATTGACTTCAGAGAGAGGAAGGAAGTAGAAGAGAGAGAGAGAAACATCAATGATGAGAGAGTCATCAATCAGCTGCTTCCTGCACGCCCCCAACTGGGGATCGAGCCTGCAACCCGAGCATGTGCCCTGACCAGGAATCAAACCTCGATCTCTTGGATCATAGGTCGATACTCAAACTCTGAGCCACGCTGGCTGGGCATGAAGGACTTTTCTAAGAAAAAGAGGAATGTACCAAAAAGATAAAAAAGGAAAAGGAACTGCATGCTTTTAACTTTTTTCCTTTCAATTTTTAATGTAATATAATTTTTTTAAAGATAATATTGCATTCAGTGAACTCAGTTTAAAAGTATGTGCAAGCCCAGCCGGGCGTGGCTCAGCAGTTGAGCGTTGACCTAGGATCCAGGCGATCAGGGTTCGATTCCCGGTCAGGGCACATGCCCAGGTTGCAGGCTGCAGCCGATCAATGACTCTCTCATCATTGATGTTTCTATCTCTCTCTCTCCTTCTCCCTTCCTCTCTCTGAAATCAATAAAGATATATTAAAAAAATAAAAATTAAAAATAAAAATAAAAGTATGTGCAAGATTTTATAGAAATGTATTGAAATAGCTTCTTTTTAAAAAAATTATCTTTATTGTTTAAAGTATTATAGATGTCCTCTTTTTTTCCCCATTGACCCCCTCCTTCTGACTCCCACCCCCTCCCCAGGCCTCTACCGCACTATTGTCTGTGTCCATGGGTAATGCATATATGCACATAAGTTCTTTGGTTAATCTCTTCCTGCCCCCCCCTTCCCTCTGAGATTTGTCAGTCTGTTGCATGCTTCCATATCCCTGAATATATTTAGTTTGTCAACTTATTTTGTTCATTAGATTCCACACATTAGTGAGATCATGTGATACTTGTCTTTCTCTGATGGCTTATTTTGCTTGGCCTAAAAATCTGCAAGTCCCTCTGTGCTGTCTCATAGAGTAAGAGATCCTTCTTTTTTACAGCTGCATAGTATTCCATGGTGTAAATGTCCCACAGCTTTTTTATCAGCTTATCTGCATAGCTAAGATCTGGAAATAGCGCAAGTGCTTTTCAGTACATGAGTGGGTTTTAACTTTTTATTTAGCAATCTGAAAGTTATTGAAAAGTAGCAGCACAGAACAATGTGATCAGGAAGCAGAATAGAACCAAGACCCTTGTCATAAGCAGGAATAAAAGAATAAAGTATCATAGAGCATTGGAAACAAAATTCTAGATACATACCCCTAGGGAACCAGGAACCAGGTGGGAGTTTGGCCCATCATGATAGTTGTGATCCATGTGAAGCTGCAGAATCTCTCTGGAGACGAAGGTAAAGCACTTCTTAACCACACTACCCTCCTGTCCTCATTCATATGGACACAAATGACATTCCCAAAAGTAAAAGAGGAAATGAAAGTATTCAGAAGCAGGTAATGTTTTATCATACACCCTTTATATGTATCATATCTTCTTCATATTTGATCATATCTTCACATTTGGAAACATAATATTAATCATATCCCTTACCAATCTTTTGGACTTGGAGGACAGAAAAAGGAAGATCTTAGAGGTGAACAGCTAGTTGTAGGTTGCTGTGCCATAAACCCAGATCTGGAACGACAGGCTCACTAGAAATAAAATGAAAATCATGAAACTAGGGAAGAGTGCCTTTTTTCTTACAGGGAGAGTTTTAAACTAGAAATAGGGGGACAAATTTGTAAGAAAAAGAAATACCTATGGATCCAGTTATTTCAGAGTATAATATGAAATGAATGAAACGGTTAAATTCTTAGTGATTTTCATTCTAGCTAAAATTTTGATAGCTAATGGTCATTAAGCACTTATATTTTGCCGGGCATTGATGTATTGTACATTTATTTACCTGAGTAAATAATAAAGAAGAGAAAGAAAAACAATTTTTAATTGCATATACCTGTAATTCATTGAATGTGTCTTACAAGGAAGGTGATCTTGAAATTTTAAAACCATGTTGTAACTTGCCTGAAAACATTGCTGAGACTGGTTGAAATGAAACTTAAGTTTAGAATATGGCAATGGAATGATATGCAGCATTCGAAAGGGATAGATATGTAGGAGAAGTATCAGAATAGTACTGCATACTGGGGAATTTTAGATGCTTAAAGTTCATGAATTCGAGTTTTTAAATATGCAAAAAACCAGCGGGGGACTATAGGAAGAAAGATAAACATGTTAAAAATATTCTGTGTAACTAGAAGCTAAAAGGAGGAAATGAATAATATATTCCTGATACGAGGTTTAAGCAAGATGACATAGCGAAGAGAGTAGTTCAGTTAGACTTGTGACATGTCTTATTTACCTCAAAGCAGGTCTCCTACATGTCCCTGACTTCTCTTCCAGCTATTACACCTCCTGGAAAGATGGAGGGAATATAAAACAAACTGCTACTCTAAATGTAATTTTGATAACCAAGAAACACACTGGTCAGAGGGAAAAAAAGTCAGAGAACTTGGGGGGAATTGACCACATCGTGGTCAAATTCATGGATAGAAAAAAGGAAGGATCTTGGTAGATTTAGACACAGGCCAAAATTGAAGATATATAGAAATGTTTGCAAGACTAGATAGCAAAAGCTTTTGAATGAAAAGGTCATTCAAGATTATTTGGAAGCTTCAGAAATGAAATTCTGATCACAGATCCCAAAGATTAAAAAAAAGAAAGAGTGATACGTAGCACTTAGTAAACAGTAATAAATAAGAGAGGTTGATACTGAATATTATCAGGAAGTTTAAAATGCAGCGTGCATTTTTCTTAAAGTTTGGGGTGTCATGAGCAAAGTTCACTCCTGAATGGCAAAACTGGAAAAATATAGGAGGATTGCAAGATTGTATTTGGTAGAGCAGAAGGAGAAGAAGAGCTAGTAACGAGGTAAGGTCCAGCAAGTTACCCAGGAAGGAATGGAAGGGAAGTTAAATGTGAACATCATAGATCCAGATAAAAGTTCTGCTCTGGCAGGGCCTCTTCTGAAGTGTCCTGACACTTTCCTCTACTCTAGCCTCAACTTGTCTTAAAGGCATGAGATTTTGGAGCTGTAATCTGGCAATAAGAAAGAAAGTCTGCCTGAGCTGGTTTGGCTCAGTGGTTAGAGCGTCAGCCGCAGACTGAAGGATCCCAGGTTTGATTCCAGCCAAGGGCACGTACCTTGGTAAGTTGCAGGCTCGATCCCCAAGTGCAGAAGGCAACCAATCAATGTGTCTCTCTCACATTGATGTTGCTCTCTCTCCTTCCCTCTCTCCCTTTCTCCCTCTCCCCCTCTCTCCTCCTTCTGCTCTCTCTGAAAAGCAATGGAAAAAATATCTTTAGGTGAGGATTGAAAAAAAAGAACAATCTAAAATACCTTCACTGAGAATGCCAAATAAAAGGAGCTTCAGTGCTTGTCATCAAGGAAGCAAAATTCTTCAGCTCCTTTGATTCAGTCTTTTTGATAAAAGAGAATAATCTTTTAATTCAAAATACAAGAACAAACAAAAAGAAGGGTAACATTTTCAGGGTGCCCCTCACAGATATAAATAAATAAGTTCAAGTCTCCAAGCTAGGATGGCATCCATAGGAGACCCTCAAATCACTGTAAAGTGATTGTAGAGGAATAAATGTTAAAGTGAAATAACATTGCAACGATAACAGGAGAAAAGTACTTATTTCTACCTTTTTACAAATGTTATGATGACTTTTAAGGTTAGATTAAATCAACAGTAATGGTGACACAGACTGGATTCAAGTGCAAGCCCAGTCATCTCCAGCCTGTGTTCTTCCATCCACACCATGATGTTAGGAAAGGGGAGATGTGCCAATCTCATTCTAATTTTAAACTTCACAAATTGATACCAATGTTCCCAAGGTTAATTCTGAGCCAAAAAAAACGAAAGAAAATAGAATGAAATGTTGGAAGAGAAATTGCTGAATCAGGCAGCATTCTCACCTTAGTCTTGGACAGAATTCCTCCTGAAGTTCTATATGATTACAAGTTGGTCCTGAATTAATATCAATCTCTTTTCATAAGGATGAAAGAAAAATGATTGAGCTACAGGAAGGATACTGAATTTTGAAGCTAAAGGATCACAAGAAATATCTCCTCTGAAAATAAATGTACTGCAAAAATAGAAAATTAGGGACTCTGCTTTTGTGGTCTGAATCCAACTAGAGAGGACACTGTGAATGTATTAAAAGGGCTCTGAGAGGAGAGAGAATGACATAAAGTGAAATAAAATTCCTGGTTGGCTAATAAAAATCTGACCGATAATTATGCCAGAAAAGAGACCTAATGAAAGAGAAGACTGTGTCAAGAATTCTTCCCAGAACTCTAAGCAAAATTTCAAAGAATAAAAAGAGACCAGTGCATTCCACTGCACACCCAGAGAGTGGGTAAAATTGAAGACAGTACACGCGGCGATTGGATCTCATTGCTGAGAGAAGTGTGCAATGGTGAGAGGCTTGGAAAACGTTTCACCACAGGATACATGCGTGCTTCTCCTATGACCCAGAAGTTATTCCTAGTGAATACCTAAAAGACACGTCTATCAAAAGACAAATAAATTAAGGTTTATATTTGTAAACGCATCATTCATAATAGCTCCAAACCGGAAAGAGCTGAAATGTCCATCAGCAGGAAAATGGGTGGCTATTGCTCAACAGTAAGAAAGAATGAACTAGTGGTGCACACGACCTGAGCAACTCTCACAGACATCGTATCGGGCGAAACAGCACGGACTATAGGGTCCCATTTACGTGAAGTTCAAGAGAAGATAAAATTAATTTGGGGTTATGAATTATAAAGTTAAAATGATGAGATGCGTAGGGCGTGTGCGGGCACAGGCAGGCGGGGAGGTGGCCGGCCAGGAGGGGCACCTCCCGAACTGCTCCTGGGGCCGGAGGGTGCTCCCTGTCCTGTGCGGAGGGTGCTCCAGATATGAAGATATGTGAAAATTCATTTACAGTCAGTGTACTTTATATATGTTATACCTCAGTGAAAAAAGAAACCTAAGTTTAATATAGGTAATGGATAGAAGGAATTACATGAAATGCTAACAGTATACCCTTATGTGGCCACATTTTTTTTTCTTTTCCATCTTATATTTTTCTGTATTTCCCTCAAATTACATTCTGCATATATAATCTACATTATATTTCTATTTATTAAATATAGTATATTTTTATATGTATTATACATGTGTGTTAGATATTGTATATAAAATATGATAAAACATATAATTAGGAAAGCAGCTATACTCAAGTTTATCAAATTTTTTCCTTTTTCCCAGAAATATATAATATATAATGTATAATATATAACATTTTTGTTAAATACTATATTAAATATATTTAAATATGTGTGATAAAACTTGTATAATTAAACAGATATATGTTCACAATATGATTGGCTCATATAATAATTTGTTTTATTAATTTACCTATTATAATTATTTTGTTTTATTACTGATTATTTTATCACTAAGAAGCCTAGAGTTTGCTAATCTACATATTATGACAAGATTTAAAAGCTCATTTATTTCTGGAGCATATGAATTAGAAAGCAAAACTCCCCCATAACCACTCCCCATAGAAATAAGCACTGGGAAAATTTGCTGTATGTTTTCCATGATCATGACATGCATCCATTGACATGAGTACAATTATAATAATCAGTTTTATAGAAATGAGATCTTATAATAATGTTCTGAATCTTGTTTTGTTCACTTACTAGCATTTTTCAGTCCACTTTCTATAATAGGACTTTTAGGATTTCTTTTATAAGATGAATGAAAAAAAAAAAATCCACATTTTATTTAGATCTTATTGTATCACACATTCATACTATTATTTATTTATTAATCTGTTGATGGATATTTGTCTCCACATTGTGCTTTATTAATGCACTTTAAAGTATCACATGCTGTAATTCCAATTTTGTCATATGTTGTGTAAAGCCAAAAGAAACATAAACAAACATGTCAAAATATTCATATGTTAACACTGATTATCTATGAGGGATGATACTGTGATGATTTTTATTTTTTATACATTCATTTTCTGGATTTTATACAATGCACACATATTAATTTCATAACTAATGTAAAAGCAGAAGAACATATGGGTGAATTCTAGTGGAAAAGCCATGCATTGGGAAGGAAGAAGCATAGGAAGAAATGGACTTAAACATGTGAACGGCTATCAGGTAGACTGATTATATTGGATTATATAACTTAAAGTTGGAGGGTTAGAACCAATGTGCAAAACTAGGTAGAGTGAATGGAAAGCAATTTAAGCTCAAGTATGAAGGAAACCTTAACAGATCTTCCAAAAGAGGAAATTTTGAGCCCTTGAACATTGAGAGTGTACGGATAGGTTCAGTTGCTCCTAGTGGGACTATAATAGATGGTCTTGAAAACCTAGAAGTTTCTGGAAAAGATAATCCTTTGAATGTGAAGCACTGCAAAAGCTTCCCAAGAAAACTGTTCTTTAAAAGCCCTTATGTCTCTCAATTTCATCTGGCTCAACTTCTGTAGATTTCCTTGGCTGTTGAATCACATGGTTCTCTACATCTTCAGCTTCTACTGAATCTGCCTCATTTTCTATTTTTGAGAGTCTTTTCCCCCTATTTACTTGAGTATGATTTTCTGTTTCGATTTACTGAATAATTGACTCATAGCATACGTGTGTGTGATAAGTTAACTCATGTCAGCTTGCTGGAGCCATTATCGTATAGAGAGTCTATTGATATTTTGTTAGAAGACCAAAACTATGTGTCTCCAAGTACTAAGTAGAGTGGGAATCAATTTGCTGGTTTCTTTTTCTTTTTTTTTCTTTCTTTTTTTGCCATTTTCCACACCTTCCTGATTTACCAGAGACATGAAATTATAATGAACATTGAAGAATGATGTATATTTTCCCCACTGCTGGGAAGAAATTAGTTTATAATAAAAATACGTAAATAAGAAAATCTGATTTGGTGCCTGCATTGCCTCCTTCCCCTCCCCCTTCTCACTGTTATTCTTAACCATACTCTCATTCTAGCTTCGAAGCTCTGTTTACTGATCTGGAAAAGAGACAGAAAGAGCTGGGCATTACTAGCTTTGGTGCATCTGTCACTACCCTGGAAGAAGTCTTCTTTAGGTGAGCAACAGTGCCCAGGGGACAGAAAGACACTGAGCGAGGAAAGGGCCACAGCTTAGTCCCTTTGGGAAACTCACCCAACTCTCAGATTCACACATTAGAGAGTTAATAAGTGCAGGGGGAGGGAACCTGATGTTATTTCTCTTACAATAAGAGGAACTGAGAAAAATATTACTCACCATTGTGTAAAGGAATGCATATTTTAACTTACTAAAGTATGAGTTAGACCTTAACCTTTGACTTGAATGAGTTCCTTAAGGAAACGTTAGGTTGCCCCGGCTTGTTCCGCCTCCCCGTGGTCTGCGGCAGTCCCCTGACTGGTGTTCGGGAACCGCTGCTCTACCATAGTCACCATGCTGTTTTCATACAGTGCCCCTACCAGTCGGTAAGCAAACCAGGGAGCCTTCTAAGCTGGGTGTTGTGACTCACATTGTCCGAACAAGATGTATTGGGGTGAAGCCGAAATGAAATACTTTGTACTTTTTAAATGTAGGGTCAGTAATATGGAAGATGCACAAACAAACATCCTACCTGTCCAACCTCAACCGCTCTCTCCGATCAGTGAAGCCTCAGTCGAGAACCAGAATACGAATATGTCCAGAAATGCGGGAGCAGATTCTTACACTGTGAATGAAAGCCCTGATATTACGTTTAACACTGGGGTGAGCACTTTTACTAAGAAAGCTGATGTATATTTGGTTGGAGCACAAGAGGTACATTTTTAAATACTTGAACAAAAGGAGTGTGGAATTCTCAGCTGTTACAGACCCAACCAGATGTGGAGCAGGCTATGCCATGACCTAATTAATTCCCTAATGCAGAAGTTATGAGTTATAAAGATCTCAATAGTTATTCCCCAGTTGTTTTTGTTTTCTGTTTAGAATTCCCTTTTTTCCCCCAAATTGAAGCTGGAATGAGCTGGAGTGAGCATGATCCTTAATAACCAAGCGTGCACAATATTTAAGATGTTTGCCGTGGGAATTGATATTGCATAAGGAATTGTTCCCTGATCAGTGTTATTCTCAGTGTGGGAATTCTCTCTGGGTTGCCAGGCATTTTTTTTCACCCTCTTAATTATCTATTCCTCCTATAAAATACTCTGGTTTTCCTATCAGAGGTCTAAGGAAAATCATCTCGTTGAGATTTTAAGTATCATATCAAAAGCTAGAACATAAATATCTTATTTAATACCTTAGAATAGAAGTCAGAAAACTTTATGTAAAGAGGCAATACATTTGTAAGGCTTTGTGGGCCATGTGGTCTCTCTGTTGCACCACTCAGCCCTGTCATTGTAGCAAAAAGCAACCATAGACAATACAGAAATGAATGGGTATAGCCGTGTGGACCCCTGCCTTAGAGGCGAAAGGCTGAACCTACCTGCGTGCATTACCTGCTATATTTGGATTCTATTACAAATATTTGAAAACGTCATGTATCTCTACCACAAATTCCAAAGTGCTCATCCTAATTTCAATGTGATTCGCCTGTTTAGGTCTATGAATATTGCAATGTTCTGTTTCCCTCTCGTCTCTCCAGTGTACCCTCTACCGCCAGCAGTTCCGCGCCATGTTCATCAAGAGGGTCATATTCAATTGGCGCAACTGGAAGCTCCTTCTCCTGCAGATCCTGGCGCTTACGGGCTCGCTTGCCTTACTCTCACGGACTGACTGGCTTTTGTTCAGTTACAGTGAGCATGCCAGGCAAATGAACTTGAGTGAATATGGTCAGACCATTGTGCCTGTATCTGTTTCTGGGGATCCTAATGTGACTCAAATTTTCTTAAAATCTCTAAAAAGTATGCTAGAGTCTGACAACCACACAATTAAGGAAGTAAAAGGTAAGGCTCATTAAGAAAAGCATTGTTCTTAGATGAATATCTCCTTGTGGGACTTGTAAAGAAGGATCTTAACTGTATGTGTGGCTACCTGCTCCTTTCTTTTCCTGTCGGTCACCAATTTTATAGAGGCAGCTCAGGGTCAAGAAACACCCTCTTTCAGGCCACTCGCCTGAAGACATTAATTATTAGTGGAGGCACTTTGGCTGTGGGTTGCCTACACGGCACTTGTTCTTCAAGTAAAAAAAAAAAAAAAGGGGGGGGGGAAGTGCCAAAATACATGTTACCATGAAATTAAGCAGGAGGTATTTTTTGTTGTTGTTTTCAGGATCTGGTCAGAATGTAATGTCTCACAGGAGCCTAGGCCTTACAGAATAGCATGGTGGTCCCCAGCTATTCCTCCATCTCCTGCACCTGTTCCAGCATTGGTGTTGTCATTAATTTTGTTTTAGCCGATCTTTCAGTGAACCGCACAGTGCTCAGTCAGCGGAGCCACACCGGCAGGGCTCTTTTGCGCCTTTTAAAAATGAATGGTGTTTTCTTTTACTGTTGAGTCATAAGAGACGTTTATATATTTTTTCTTATACTGTCAACCATCTTTGCATCATCTTAACAGGTTTTGCAGGAAAATTTTTTATCTTGATGAAGTCCAATTTGTTAAATTTTTCTTTTATGGATTGTGTATTTTGAGTCAAGTCTGAAACTCTGCATAGCCCTAAATAATGAAGATTTTCTCACAAAAGGTTTATAGTTTTCTAAAAGTTTTATCATTTTATATTTTACATTGAAGTTTCTAATCCATATCACATTAATTTTACTATAATGTGTAAGATATGCATCAAGATTAACTTTTGTCCCGATGGATATCCAATTGCTCCAGCAACATTTGTTGAATGGCAAAATCCACTTAATTATTTTGTGCCTTTATCCAAAATGAGTTGGGCATGTGTGGGTCTACTTTTGGGTTCTCTGTTCTACCTCATTAATCTCTGTATCTGTTACTTCACCAATATTGTGCTTAAAATATGGTAGACTATTCCTCCTACTTTATTCTTGTTGTTCAAAATTGTTTAGTTCCTTTGGCTTTCCCTATAAATCTTAGAATACCTTGTCCAGACCTATAAAAAAATTTGTGGGAATTTTTATAAGAATTAGATTAAATCTGTATATCAATTTGGGGAGAATGGACATGGGCTTTTCAATCCATGAACATAATATATGCCTCCATTTCATTAGAACTTTTTAATTTCTTTCATCAGTGTTGTGTACTTTTCATCATATGACTCCTGTACTGTACATGTTTTCTTAAATTTATAGCTAAGTATTTCCTTTATTGAACAGATTTAAATGGCATTGTATTTTTAACTTCGGTGCCCATATATTTATTCTAGTGTATAGATAGCAGCTGGTTTTTATGTTTATCTCATATGCTACAAACTTGCTGAACTCCTTTATTAATGCTAGAACTTTTTGTTGCTTCCTTGAGATTTTTCTATATAGACAGTTATGTCATCTGCAAGTAAAAGCAGTATTATTTCTTTATCTGTGATCCATATGCCTCTTTTTCCTATTCATGCTTCATTGCACTGGATAGAATCTCCAGCACGATGCTGAGTCAGAGTGGTGAGAGTGGACATTCTTTTCCTGTTCCCAGTTTTACGGGGAAAGTATGCAGTTTTTTCATGATTAAGTATAATGTTAGCTGTAGGGATTCCGTAAATATTCTGTCCAGAGTTGAGGAAGTTCAGCTGTATTCCCATATTCTCAGTTATTATCATGAGCGATAGTTTTTTCAAATGTTTTTTCCTGCATAGATTGATATGATTATGTGATTTTTATTCTTCAGCCTATTAATACAGTGGGTGATATTGACTGATTTTTAAATACTGAACCAGCCTTGCATCCCTAAAATAGACCCCACTTGGCCATAGTGTTTTATTATATTTTTATCTTGCTGAATATATTTGCTAACATTTTTCAAGGAGATTTACACCTATATCCGTGAAAGATATTGGTCTGTAATTTTCCTTTTCATATTGCCTTTGTATGGTTTTGCTACCAGGGTATTACTAGCTTCATAAAATGAATTGAGAGATGTTGCCTCTTCCTCTGTTTTCTGAAACATATTGTGTATAATTAGTGTTGATTTTTTCTCAAATATTTTTTAGAATTCTCCAGTAAAAACATGTGGGTCTGGCAGTGCTTTATGGCAGTGCTTTAAGGAAGCCTGCCCACAGTCCACTTCTCCGAGGGGGTATTAATTTCCCTTAACTCACAATAAAATCTTGCCTCCATGTTTAAACTTAAACACACACACACACACACACACACATACACCTGGGCCTGGAGAGTTATTTGGGGGGAAATTTTAAATTTATAAATTAAATTTCCTTAATATTTATAATTATTCATTTAACATCTACCACATTGGGTGAGATAAGCAATAGTTTATGTTTTGAGGAAGTAGTCCATTTCATCTAAACTGTCAAAGTTATGTGTATGGGGTTGTTCATATTGTTCCTTTATTATTCTACTGAGAGCTGGAGGATTTGCCTAAGGCACCATTGCCATTAATAAATCTAAAATGCCTCAAACAAAAAAGGTGCATAGAATGTTTGTCTTAGTTCAGTGCCTTTTCATTCTTTCCAAGGTCTTGGACTCCAAGTGTTCATTGCTTTCCTAGATCTATGATACCTTAAAATAGGTGATTTCTCATTTTTTTAATCCAGCTGTTTCATTTTCTCACAGGAAGATTTTGTCTGCTGTAAAGTAAGCAATAAAGTCTATAGATGAAAGTAACTCATAGATCAATTTAAGACAGAAAAGTAAGTTTAAAGAGTCTATACCATGTTTTCTGTATTTTCTCGGAGAAATAGGAGTTTAGATTATTGGCAATGAAGTAAGAGAGCTTGGAATTTAATGATACAGTACTTAAGGTGAATGGCAAATGTTTGAAATAATCATTATTGTAAAATTGAAAGGGATAATAACCGAGTAAAATGAGTTGTTTTCTTCCTGAACACACAGGGGTGGGCAAAAGCAGGGTTACAGTTGTTCATATGAAAAAAGACATGCAGGTTATGATTATTACAATAGCTTTATTAATGCAGAAGAATGTCACAGTGACACTGTAAACCTACTTTTGCCCTGTATGCTGCAGATGATCTGTATTTTGGAAAAACTAACCAATATCATGTCGTCATCTTAGGTGGCCTACAGCAATATTTCGTGAAAGCTGAAGAGTGCATTCACTTCTGCATTGTTGCATTTTCCCTTGAGGTGAATAAAGGTGAAATAATACTTACTGGTCTGTTCAACAATCAAGCATACCATTCACCAGCCCTGACCCTGGCCATTTTAGACAATATTCTTTTCATGTTAATTTCTGGCCCTAATGCTTCCTTAACAGTCTCCAATAAACCTCAGCTACCCTCTGCTGATAAGAAAGAGCGTGAAAGGTATGTTGTCCTTTTATTAGAATAGAATTTTATACTTTAAATGCTTTTATCCAACTCTGATTATATCTGTATGATTAAACATAGCTATTAATAGGGATTTCTATTTTCTGCTGTGTTGATTTTTTTATATATATATCTACTTTTGTTCCTTCTCTAGGTTTCCGGTCGAACAGGCGGTGGCCTTAAATATACATTTTGGCATGGCTTTTTTGGTCAGTGGCTTTTGTCTCTTGACAGTGACTGAGAGAATCTCTAAGGCCAAGCACATCCAATTTGTGAGTGGGGTCTGTGTCCTTGTGTACTGGCTCTCTGCTCTACTGTGGGACCTGGCCATCTTCTTCGTTGCCTGCTGCTTACTACTGGTGAGTGTTAAAGTTTTTTGAGAGCTCATTTACCCTCTGGACCCCATGGGAAATTCCTATTCTCCGACGACATCATAAACCTAACTCTGCTGATAAACTGTCTTTGCTTAGTCTCTTAGAAAATACATTGAAATGTGTGTAAATTTTACCCACGAGGCATGTTACAGAAAACCTTTGGAATCATTATTCATAATAATTCGTTCATCTTCACCCAAGGATATGCTTATTGATTTGAGAGAGAGAGGAAGGGAGAGGTAGAGGGGTGGGGTGGCGGGCAGAGAGGGAGAGAGGACTTGAGAGAGAAACATCAGTTGGTCGCTTCCCATATGCACTGTGACCAGGTATTAAACCCGCAACCTAGGTATGTGCCCTGACCGGAAATCAAACCCACAACCTTTTGGTGTGCGGGATGTCACTCCAACCGACTGAGCCAGCCAGCCAGGACCATGATTTTTATGAGCTAAATTATGTCCCCCAAATCTCATATGTTTAAGTTCTAACCACCAGTTCCTCAAAATGTAACTATATTTAAAGATAGGGCCTTTAAAGAGGTGATTAAGAGAAAACGAAGCAGTTAAAGTGGGTCCTAATTCAATCTGACTGGGGTCCTCTTTAAGAAGAGGAAATCTGAATATACAAAAAAACACCAGGGATGTGCAAGTACTGAGGAAAGACCATGTGAGGACACAGCAAAAAGCTGGCTGTTTACAAGCCAAGGAAAGAGCCCTAAGAAGAACCAACACTGATGATACCTTGATGTTGGACTTCCAGCCTCCAGAACTGTGAGAAAATAAAATTCTGTTGTTTAAACTATCCAGCTCATAATATTTTTATTATGGCAGCCCTAACAAACTCATACAATAACCAAACACCGGAAACAACCTATTACCCATCAAAAGTAAAATAGGTAAATGAATGATGATACTACAGGGGAAACTATACAGCAATGATAAAGAATGAAGTAGAACTATATTCAATAACATGGATGAATCTCATAATGCCTAGTGAAAGAAGCCAGATATAAAAAGATGCATATTGTACAATACGTTCATAAAAAGCTCAAACTGTCATCAATAGGTTCTGTGACTTTAAGTGCAATGACATAACAAGACTAGTTTTATCTACTTGAAATAGTCGCCTATATTATAGGCTACTTGATATAAACACAAGTTAAGTTTCTACAGCATCTCATCAATATTATAACGAAAATGTTGAATGAAATGACATCATTTCAGGACCTGCAATACTCTATCTTAATGTTGTGGGATGCACACCTATGTGATCACACTGTTTGGAAATAAAAAGAAAAAAAAGAAGCTTTATGGTAAAAATCAGAATCGCGGGTACTTTTACTGGATTTGGAGGAGTTCACAGTAGGTTTCTTCAGGTACTGGCATTGTGGTAGTTACTCATGGGGTTATTTTGCTATAATTCATTGTGATAATTTATTTCTGTCTTGTATACTCTTTCGGGCATGTGTTACATTTCATAATAAAGAGGTTAAGGTTTTTACCTGAACACCTTGTTCATTTAAGGATTAATTCGGATAGAATCTACATACTTACCATGCATAGTCGTCTTCTCCAAGAACAGAGTGTTGCTTATTTATCTAACAAGGAACTTGATTTTTCTTTAAAATAGGTTATGATTTGTGACATTGAAGGATTCCAGACCTTCAAACACAGGGATTCCTAGGTCATCCCAACTTTTCCTTGATTGCCTCACTGCATTTATTCTGTGTAGGTGTATAGTACGCCCATTCAGAAAGAAGACAACCATAGCTACAGATGCTGGATTCAACTATGACCCGCTAATCTCTATTGCTATTGCTGCCGACGTCATGGACATCAGTCATTAACTGTACAGTGACTTCTTAGCTTAACCTTACTATTTACTTCTTGGTTTTCCTGCTATACAATTGTACAGTTGCCCAAAGGCATAACCCTGATATTTGTAGAGCAATTGCGATACTAACTGACAAGGTATAGATTTCCAGAAAGTTATTTCCTCTAAAAACTGCAAGTTCATCTCCACCACCACCATCCATTCAATTTAGGTCCCTCTGACTTTGTCCTTCACTGTCTGGTGTTGGGGTTTTTTGTTTTTTGTTGTTGTTGATGATGTTTTTATTTTATTTTATTTTTGTTGAAAATATTACAGATGTCCCTTTTTCTCCCCAATGACCCGTTCCACCCCGTCCCATCCCCCTCCCCAGTCCCTCTCCCCACCATTGTCCGTGTCCTTGGGTTGTGCAAATATGCACATAAATTCTTTGGTTACTCTCTCCCCCTCCACCCACCCGCCCTCCTCCATCCCTCTGACATTCCTCAGTCTGATCCATGCTTCCATGTCATTGAATCTATTCTGTTCATCTGTTTATTAAGTTCTTTAGATTCCACATATAATCGAAATCATGTGATGTTTTTCATTCTCTGCCTGGCTTATTTCACTTAGCATAATTTTCTCCAGGTCTATCCACACTGTTCCAAAGGGTACAAGATCCTTCTTCTTTACAGCTGTGTAGTACTCCATGGTGTGAATATCCCACAGCTTTTTTATCCACTCATCTACTGATGGGCACTTGGGCTGTTTCCAGATCTTAGCTATTGTAAACTGTGCTGCTATGACCATAGGGGTGCATATATCTTTTCTGATTAGTGTTTCAGGATTCTTAGGATATATTCCTAGGAGTGGAATCACTGGGTCAAAAGGCAGCTCCATTTTTAATTTTTGAGGAACCTCCATACTGTTTTCCCCAGTGGCTGCCCCAGTCTGCATTCCCACCAGCAGTGTACTAAGGTTCCCCTTACCCCACAGCTTCGCAAGCACACATCATTTGTTCATTTGTTGATGGTAGCCGTTCTGACAGGTGTGAAGTGATACCTCATTGTGGTTTTAATTTGCATCTCTCTGATGATTAGCGACCTTGAGAATTTTCTCATGTGTCTCTTGGCCGTCTGTATGTCCTCTTTGGAGAAGTGTCCGTTCAGGTCCTTTCCCCATTTCTTAATTGGGTGGTTTGTCTTCCTCTTGCTGAATAGTACAACTTCTTTGTATACTTTGGAAATTAGCCCCTTATCAGATTCATCCTTGGCAAATATGTTTTCCCAGACC